TTTTTCATGACCAAACACTTAAATTTAGTGCTATATAGAAACAATTAAGGAATAGTTTTGAGTAGTTAAAGTAATTAATAAGGCCAGTGTTATAAAAATATAAATTAAGGTAAAATGTGTATTAGCTTTTAAAATGTTCTTAATTTGAATGAGTTAAAAACAATCATTAACTCGCCCAGCTCTGGAGATATTGATAGAGTAATGACGACGACGACGACGACGACGACGATAATAATAATAATAATAATACTAAGGTGCAGGGGTTGGTTACGGCAGAAGAAGATATATACAAACGCTGACCGACCAGATGACGACGATCAACAGTTCGACGGTGACGGAGACGGCGGCGTACGCTGTCACGTACGCGAACGCGTCTTCGGTCCACGCGCTACGCTGTGGACGAAGCGTCGACTGCTGATGGTATCTGGTGCGGCGCGGCCGGCGGTTCACGTCGGCGACGGGCACCCCGCGGGAGATGTGGGGCAGAACGACGACGGTGCGCGGCGTGGTCAGCTGCGGTGGCGGCGTTGGCGGTGGTGCTGTGGAGGGGCCTGGTAGTCAATAGCATTTTTTGGCGCACGCGCACTTGCGTATGATCTCGATGTCTTTGGTGTACCTCGTACCGTCGTTGCATATCAACCGGACCTTYCGTTTCTTGGTCTTGCGCGCCCGACAACAGCTCGTCCCGCAGCCGCCCTCGCACTTGGCCATCTTCAGCGGTTTTCTCGACCGACAGTTGTTCTCCGTGTAGTACTCCCGCACCTGTACTTTCTTGCACGTGGGACCTGCGAACACACGTGTCATTATTATTATTATTATTATAGGTAGGTACTGGACCTGATGTGCCTTACATAATATTATTAATATAATGATCATTGATCTCCGGGGGGGGGAGACTCGATCCCACCCAGGTTTGTGCCAAGTCCCCGTAATCCAATATGTAGAACGCATAAGTGATTTTTAGACAATATTATGGTTGGAAGGACTTAAGTTACCCCTATAACCTGAGGCGATCCCCTCCCCCAAATGGTTATAATTTTATTCAGGGGGGAGACACGGTATAAGTTCGCTTAATCGCTTCAACACCCAATACTGCGTAATTCAGTATGTTATACCTACTGTAAGCAACACATTTAGTCTAAAACTTGGAGGTGTGAAAATTATTTACCTAGAGAACATTTTCGGAATGAGGAAATCCAATGTACCCAATACCTATTAATAATATTTTAGCTTAAAATAAACGAAGATTACTAATTATTTATGAATCGGGGCGCTAAGCATAATTTTTCTAGCATGGCAAATGGAAACCACAAAACGTAAATTTTTGTATATAATATAGGATATATGCATTAAAATACAACATGAAAGACAGTCACACCCGACAAAATATCTGCAGTGCTAGAACTCAAACTTAAATTTTGAACAAGTTTAATATTCAGAACTTACCCGGACCCTTKATAACACTTACAGCACCGACGATGGAGTTTGCGCGTTTGTTTATTAATCATGACAAAGTTGAGATTAGGACACTTACCTTGCGTACAGTACTTGCCCGACMAACCGGGTTGGCACTTGCAAATATATTCTTTCATCCCTTTGGGCTCACACTTGCTACCCTTATGGCACTGATTATTATAGCAAGGGTCTTCATCTTCGTCCTCATCTTCGTCGTCCTCTTCGTCCTCGTCTTCTTCAATTGGTCCTTCTTGTGGTTCCATCTGCTCCTCATCCACCATGGTCGAGCTCTGTTCTTGTTCAACTACACTCGTCGATTTCACCCCTTCTTCTTCCACCATTTGTTCTTCGTCTTGGAGTAGGGAACAGCCGGGCGTCACTTTTTGTTGACGTGCCGCGTTCATAAAGTCCACTAGTTTGTGGTTCACCCAAAGTTCTTTCATGCACCCTAGAACAAACATACAAACATATTTCATTGTGAAGATACTGTAAATTCACGTAATTACACTTAAGGCATGCTGCGGAGTCGTGTTTGAAAATTACTCACCGTTGAAACTGGTCAAATTTCTTAAATGAAAATGATTAAAGGCTTCGGCACCGGGATCTGGGGGTGTGCCACCTATGTACAACGGCGAGGTGAGTCTCAAGTAATCTCTTGACCCCTCGTTGATTATCGATCTGGCCACACCTCCGTCGACTCTTAGTGTGAAATTTTTTCTTATCGACAAAAGTTCGACCATGTGTTGTTTACCGTCGGCGACCATTTCAAAACTAAAAACATACTTAGTTGTTAAGTTAGCCGACAAAACAGAGAATTATTATGAGTGAAATACTGACCTATACATGGTCGAAACGGGATAATTTCCAACGTCATAACTGACCCTAATACGCCCGTTGAATAATTCAACGGCCAAGTGTTCGGAATGGCCGTCATACAACAAAATTCCATTTTCTTGTGTTGTCGTAAACACAACAGTCACGTTGGCCTCGGGCTTAGTCCTCAAAGGCTCTAATTCCACGAACGAAGTATTATGTACAAAACTCAAGCTTGTCAGATATTCGCACCTTTTGCCTGCAAATAAAATGATGTGGATTAATGTGCCGTGTTATTTACAAACATCAATTAACACGCGTGGACAAGTACCTGAGTACCCCGGAGCGCATTTACATAAGTAGTCGTTCGTAGAACCGTTCGGTTGATAACATATTCCATTTTTGCATTCGTGGTGTTGACAGGGCGAAGTCTGCGGGTACATGAGTGCGACACTCGGTGAAATGTCGCAGAACTTGCCGGTATATTCTCCGACACATTTGCATGTATAGTCGTTGATGCCGTCCACGCACAAACCGCCATTCTGATGATGAGAAAATAAAACCGTAATGTCGTATTATTGTATCAAACAAATACATTACAATTTACAATAATAATAATAATAATACTAATATAGTTTCATCTCACCTGGCACATGTGATTTTGGCAGTCATCGTTGTTTACTGTGCAGTTGTCACCCGAAAACCCAAGTAGACATTCGCAAGCGTAATGGGTAATGTGATCGACGCACTTGGCTCCGTTATGACARGGATTGAAGTCTTTAGAACAGAACTGTATTTTTGTTTGACAATAATCACCTKAGGCGTAATATAATATTAAACATTAAGTAAACACACGGAGATTTAAATTTAAATTTAAAATAAAAAGTAACATTATTCTTACCCGTGTATCCCGGTAGGCAACGGCACTCATACGCTTGAATYAGGTCAACGCATGTAGAATTGTTTTCGCATTTGTTGGTCAAACAGTCGTCGATATTAGTTTCACATCGATCTCCGGTAAAACCAGGTGCGCATTGACAACTATTAAGAAAAATATGGTAAATTTAATTATATATTATTAATTATTATATAATATAATATATACAGAGTGATTATTTTAATAATGTACACTCATTAGTTGACACTTCATCATTATAAAAAGTATTAATTATTTTATTTTTTGAAAATGAACATTTATTGTAAAATAATTCTCTAACATTGAATAAAATGCTCTCTAATTAATAAAAAAATGTGTTGTTTTTTCACTACTGAAACATAGGTACATTAAAAAAACAAAGGTTACTACAAAAAATTAAGTGCGAGAATAAAAAAAATCTTAGAATAGCATTTAACTATAACGAATTTTTCTAAAAGAATATTTGAAGAAAAAAATTGTAATACTTTTATGTCAKAGCCCATTGGTACTTGAATAAATAATAAATAAAAAAATAAAAATAATAATAAAGAATCAAGTTAGTATTTACCTGAATCTACCTTCTTCGAGCAGTTTGCAAGTTCCCGAGTTCCTGCACGGATTACCGTAACACGCGTCAATCATGTTTTCACAATGTTTACCATGATACCCGGGATTGCATCTACATTTGTATTGTCTTTCAGGTAAAGGCTCGCAGAAGCCTTCGTTCGAACAAGGGTTGGTGAAGCACGTGTTACACTTGGACAGGATGTCTTTGCCGATCGGTTCTGTAAAAATGACAAGCTCATTTTAAGCAATACGCACATAATCAACGAACTCGTTGTACTGACCTTTGCAAACGAAACTTGAAACGGGCGTGGATAGTAGAAGTTTGTCCTTCATGGAAATGGGTTCCGCACATCTGGCAATACCTGACTCGATGAAATCTTTTTTAATCCATTCCGCTAACCACTGTAGACCGCAATCACAGTACAGTGGGTTGGAGCCGATACCTCTGCAAAATCGCAAAAACATTCATCACCAAGGCTGTTAATTTAATCCGTTCGCATATTTTTTTAGATTTTTTAATAATAATACTATACGTTTTTATTGTACTGGAAGATTATAAAAATTTAAAAAATGTATTACATCAATCGCATCAGGACAATAATATCATATTGATAGCATGAACGTCTGATTAATGCAGACCTGAACAAATCGAAAATATTCACGGTTCTACTAGTATATTTAACGATATCATTACTAGGCTTAAGGGTCTATACATTTTTTTTTTGATATTATAATTTAATCAGGTAATACAATATATTTAATATAAACAAATAGGTAAACAATAGATACAAAATATCAACATATTTTAAAATGTGTTCATTACATAATAATAATATATAGAAAATATTCACGACTCACATACAACCTATAGATWTTAAGTAATAATATTTTTGTTGGTACAATTTTTTTAATATTTTATTTTACGTAAATGATGGTACGCGATTGGTTCAACTGTAGAAATTTTTGTATCTTATATTTTTATTTTTTTTACCTTTGATGTTTGGTCCAATTTGCWAACCTATATCCTATTATTATTATTCCAGTAGATTATACCAGTGATACAGAACCTCAGTAATGTTATCTTAGGAATTACCCATTTGTGCAAAAAAAATTAACTAATTTAGGGTGCAGTCTATTTGTATCGAAATAAAAAAGGTATGTTTTTTTCTACAGTCTATTTGCGCCAAATTTACTTGCGTTAAAATTTTACATGATAACAATTTGATTTATTTCATATATTTTAAAGACACGACATACAAACATTACTAACATTTGTGAGTTGTAACATAAAGTTATTTTTATAAGTCTAAAGATTTTAAAGTTTTGAATACTCTTGCGTAGACAGACTGCAAACAAGTTATATATTAGTTTTATTATGTTGTAACTTGTAAGATGTACCTAATAGGTACTTCCGTTATTGGATATTGTTATTCGTCAAATCATCGAATAAGAACGATCGAAGAGTGATTTTATCAGACATTTGTTACGTTACGCTACATACCTAATATTTTCGTCTGTACCTATATTGTTTATTTTAATTATTTTGATTAGTATAATTAATAAAAATGGAGTTTACAACAAGGAAAAAAAGGTAAAAATGATTATAGACAAGGGCCATTGGTTACCGGACAATTGGTCCCCGGTCAATATTTTACGATATTAGGTCAATATTAGGTATACGAATAGATATAATAGTCAATTGCAGACGGCATTTTGTAATGATAATATTTTTATAATAACTTATTACTCATTTTATTCGTTATTATAAATTATAATGTTAAAATAATATTTTTAAATAAAAAAGATATTACAATAAGGTTCATTTTGATGGATTATAAAATTTTAAGTGTAACACTATACCTACTAGCATTTCAATACTAACTATTTTTAGTAAACTGTAATAAAAAATTTCCCTTGATAAATAATAATCTTTTATTACTGACTGACCGATCTACCTTCATAAGTTATCGCTGTACTATAAAGATAATGGAAATAATAGAATGTCTTAAAACCAGCCACTGAAAAATATAAATTGTTTGTTTGTTTTTAAAAAACATGTTAAAAATGGTAAACGTTGGGTGTGTGTTCACAAAAAAGTATGCAACGGTAGTATTACTACCGATGGTGATTAAAAACATGTAATTAAATCTGAATCACATAATCATGAAACTAATCCGGGTGTTTTGGAAGCGGAATGAGCCATTTGCAAAATGAAACAAGACGCTCAAGAAAATTTAAATTTACCATCTAGAATTTATGCCAAAAATGTTACGAATTTATCTGAAGAAGGTAGAAAAAATACCTATTGAAAATAATTTTAAACGATCTTTACGACGAATTATCGCAGTAATAATTACCCAAAGTTAAAATCAATAAATGAATTAAACTTGAACAATTTAAAATGTGCCACTACTGGTGGAAAAGATTCACGGTAATTTCTTTTTTATGACAGCAAAAATAATAAGAATAGAATTTTATTTTTTGTTTCACAGCTCTGTTTAAAATCTTGATCATCATCAAAACATATATTTATAAATGGCWCTTTTGCAACCTGTCACCGATAGTATACGTATTACTGCGAAAAAAAAACAAAAGAAACCTATAATGAAATGCTATTATTGGTATTAAAAAAATATTGGTCTTCGGTTAAAGTGATTTCGATTGATTTCGAACAAGCTGTGATAAAAACAATTGAAGATGTATTTGAAATGAATCCAACTACCTATGCTATTTTCACTTGAATCAATCTATTTGGAGAAAAGTCCAAGATTAGGACTAGCCGTAAAATACAAAGAAAATAAAAAATTAAGACTAGCTGTGAAATTAATAAGCGCTTTGGCATTCTTACATGTGRATATGATTAAAAAAGGTAATAAAATATGAATTATTATTTAATTACTTTAATTTTTTATTTTAGGAATATCTATATTGTATGACACAATTAATCACAATGACAACATCTTTACTTATGTATTTTGATGCTACGTACGTCAATGGAAATTATAAGGCAACAACTACGGAATTCGAAACCACGTATCTAAAACCCCAACCACCGATTTTTCTACCACATTTATGGAGTGTATATAATGCAACAAAAAAAGGTTGTGCCCGCACTAATAACATATCTGAATCATTCAACAATAAATTTCAACATATTGTCAGGATTAAACATCCGAGTGTTTATGTTTTTATTGAATCGATAAAAATCATTAATTCTATAACGATGATATCTTTGACTAAGAACAATGAACATGTTTTTTTATAATTAGTGATGGAGAAAAAAATATTGTATCTGTTTGTAATAGTTTGATATTAACTTTTCTAAAGATGAACTTTTGAATTATTTGTACTCCTTAAGTCTTGCTGTAAAACATTGATGAACCATCGAAGCTTAATTTTTGTGAGATATTATATTAATTTTGATTAAAAAGTTTATTTGRTATTTAAGTATGTATTTATATATATWTTTTTTGATTTATTTATTATTATAACTATTATAATTATATTATATGAGAACGTTTTATGCTAAAAAAATATTTTAACCTGTCCACATTCTGTCTTTTTTCGAAGGGACCAATTTCCCGGGGATCGATTGTCCTAAATCCATAAGTATATATTGGCTTATACTTCTTAAAATGTTGAACGATGACGTTGTTCAAATACAAAATGCAAGCAAAAATATTTATTTAAGATGGACAAATTATTAAAAGACATGGAATGCTTGAAATTTTTTTTTCTATTTCTATAAAATATGTAAAATATAAATATAAAGTTATAATATTAATATACTTATCCAACATATAAAGCAAATTAACTGTTTTAGTAATTATATTCAATTTTAGCGCAAATGGGCGATGCTCGTTATTTGCTATTATGTAATTTTATTATTATTAGTATAATATTTGAATGAGTTACCTAGTGGTTAATAAACCGTTATTAAATGYATTCATTAATATTCTCAAATTTTATAATTTTATTATTTCTAAAGGATAATACATTAATGTATATTTTCATTTTTTTTTTTGTGGATGGTAGGTATAGTTGTTTAGCAGTATTTTTGTGCATTGTATTGCACAGCCTGGGTTTTCATTATACAATATTAGGATTTGATATACATAGTGCGTCCCATAAGTTTTGAGACTAAGGCTACTGATGTTACAAAAAATGTTTTAAGCAATTTTTTAATCAAAATAGTCACCATTATTATATTTTATACACTTTGTACAATCGCCCAATTTTTCCATGGCCCGTGAAAAGTCAGATTCGGGAATGTTTTTGAATTTTTGAGTCATTGCTTTTTGAATCGTTTCAATGGTGGTAAAATGGTGCCTCTCGAGCTCCATATTTAACATTGGGAACAGGAAATAGTCCAGCGAACTCAAATCTGGTGAATACGGGGAGGGGGGAGGTGAGTATTGGAACCATTTTTTTGGCCAAAAATTATTTTACAGAGGCGATCCAAAAAATTTTCAGGTATTATCGTAAAAACTTCCTAGAATTTCATAATTATCTAGATACTAGTATTAATTTTAAAATGGTTGTCTCAAGACTTATAGGACGCACTGTGTAATATTAGGTAGGAGATTAACATAGATCTTGGATAATAAGGGTTATACTTACAAATGAGTAATCGAGTCGAGCCCGGAAAATGTACCATCTGGTATCAATGAGATATTATTTCCATGTAGCGAACTGAAAAATACAATATGATTTAAAATAAATTTATATTTATTTTCAAAAAGTTGAAGTTAATACTTACATGATTCTCAACGATTTAAGGCCAGATAGTGAATTTTTTTCCAGACATTGTAACTTGTTGTATCCCAAGAGTCTGAAAATATTGATATTATACAAGTTATAGGTAGTTTCAACATTTTTATAATTTTTTTCTACTTACAGAGTGGATAATTTTGATAACTGAGAAAACGTGTTGTTTGATAAAACTGTTAAATGGTTATTACTTAAATCCCTAAATAATAATAATATTATGATTATTATGTGATCAATATTTAGCTTGACATTTTACTTACAATCTAGTAAGCGATTTGAGATGATTGAGCCTGTCGACTTTAATCGAAGTAATTTCGTTTACGTCCAAATACCTGAACATAAAAATGGTACAATAAATCATCCGTCAATATATGAGCATTAAAGTAAACTCAAAAAATAGTTCTTACAACTCGGAGGTCTCGGCAGGAATATTTTTTGGTATCTCGACTAGCTTCGYCCTTGTACATCGGACTACGGTTCCAATRCACGTGCACTTTGGAGGACAATAGTTGTCACCAAGACAACCCTGATCGTTGTCACCTGAAATTTAATAACGGTCGTCGTAAAGCTAATGAATTATTTGTCTTTATGCTCCAAGTTTCTGGAAGAAAACACTCGGGCTCGTGTATGGAGGACTTAAAATTTGTGAAAACGGTTTCACTGTCATTTTGCTAAGCCCGACTTCGTCAAATTAAGGATAAACGACATAGGTACCAATAAAGGCACACGCAACGTCTCATTTATGGACAATTATAAGTGAACAACCACATCATCCACGTAGTACGTAGACGCAAATACGAAAACAAACATTTAGGGCACTGAGATTTTTTACCTCAAACTGACATGTTATTTGCTCAATGAATACACATTACATAATAATTACCGGAGCATTTGAATTCGTATGAAGGTAAATCGTGAATAGGGACGTCCATCACTCGAGCGGGCCCGGCGCATCGGGGACTTCCGGCAATTAGCCCGTGTTTTTTTAGCCATTCGGCAAACCAAGCCAGATGACAATTGCAATTGAAAGGGTTCATCTGCAAGTTTCTGAAAACACGTGCACATAATGCGTTCATAATTGGAATGAAAATACAAACAAAGTAGATTAAAGCTTACAGGGTGCGGAGAGCTGGTAGATAATCGAAAGATCCAGGCATAACGCACGTAATCTCGTTATTCAACAAAGTTCTAAGACGAACAAATAAACAAAATAAAACATAAAATATACATCTTATTTTATTTTTCTACTAAAAACTTTTTCAACTTACAAAATTTTGAGATTGTGAAGACCAATGAACATTTTGTTGTGTACTTGTCGAATTTTGTTTTCTGATAAATTTCTATAAATACAATAACAATAATGAATTGAAGAAAAAAGACTTATAATACCTATTATAATGAATGACAATCTTACAGTTCATATAATTTGATGGCACCTTCAAAAGCGTTCGCTTCGACGCTACTAATGATATTTCTTTTCATTTCTAATTTTTGTAAATGAGGCAACCGACCAAACAGACCGTCAGACTTGATTTTTCCGATTTCATTGTCATTCATAAGTCTTTGTTTGTGGAATAAAAAAGATAACGATTGTTAAAGTCAATTATAAATAAATTAAGATTTTAATGAACTTTTATTTGCTTACAATTCAGTGGTGTAAATTGGTATGTCTTTTGGTATTTCAGTTAACGATCTTCCTGAACAATCGACAACTGTACCTTCGCAGGAACAGTTCGATGGGCATGGGACATCAGACAAACAATCGGAGGTTTTAGATTTCATGTCATCTAGACCTGTGAATGAAATCATAAACGATATTTGTATCGAAGTTTTACATAGGAAATGCATAATAATTGTAACAAACTTCGAAAACAATATTTTACATTTTAAAAATAAATATATATAAAATGGTTTATTCACATTTTATTATTCGTTTAATATATTTAAACATTTTAATTTTTTTTTAAACTATAATAAATCAAGTTATTACAGTACATTATATTGTAATTATGATTTTAATATATTCATTTAAATTTGTTTATAGTAATACTTAATTATAGTAATACAGGCATTTTATAATATTAATTCCATGACCTCAGTATTTAAAAATAAAACAATTTATTAAACATCAAAAATATTTATGCATTGGTTTTTATAACATTTAAATCATAATCTTTAGAATTAAGTTCATATTTTTCTTTTATATTGCATAATTTTACGTAATCTTTTTTTAATAATAAAATTACCTTTATGATAATATTTTAATATTTAAGTTTATTTCATCAATTTATTGCATATAGGTACTAGTTTTTACTATTGTTCTATAAATATCGCATAATTTTAATATAAAAAAATTGAGACTTCAGTTTTCGAATAGATTATATTTATATATTCTCAATATACTTTCATTACTCGTATACTTGAACCAAAAATCGTTTTATACTCTTTTTATTTTCCTATTTATAATATTAGTATAAGGTGTTTGCGTACAGTAATTTTATTTCTACTTTATATAAAATCAATGATTAATACTTGTAGCCCGGTTGTAGGAAAAATATATATATTCCAGATTATCATTAWGGTTCAGAGGACAATATTTCGTGATAATAATTCTCCGCTGTATACAAAAATGATAACTTACACTTGAATTTGTCATGACTCAAGCCATCTATTCTTCGTTTTTGCAACTTTTTCGGTGACTCGCACCGAGCGGCGGATGTTTCTATTGGATTTTTATGCAAATATTCTGATAACCAACGCAAGTTGCAGTCGCAGCTAAATGGATTTCTACCCAAATGCCTGAAACAAATAAATAATAAACAATCAAATCTCATTTTATTTTTCACTTTATTTATTTGGAGGGATAATAATTCTTGTACATTTTTTTGACTAATGGCCCCCTTGAAGTATGATTGTTTTGATGGCTATTTAGACAAATAGCACAAAGTAAACAATACTAAACAATGGAGATGGTGGGTTGTGTCTAGAAATAATAATGGAAGACACATCTGGTAGAATTCACGATGTTTTTATTTATAACTAAAGAAAAAGACATTTTTCAAGAAGTTTTCGTACAAAAAGTTTTTCAATGCTAATAATATACCACAACTAAATAATATGTATTCATTCCAACCGCATTTCGTTATGAACAGGAAACGGGGTGACGGGAAAAAAAATATCCGGTGGAAAGAATAATCTCCTATGGATATATTATACAATCAAGGAATCCATATTATATACACTCTACACGAGATTTTGTTAAAGTTCATATAATATTGAATATTGTGGACGAATTTCGTCTTGCGAATATTACGCAGCATGAAAAATATATATGGAAATTCTGGGTCGGCCATTTTTGAATTAATTTTGTTTTAAGCTAGTCGTTTATTTTGAGTTTCCGAGTGAGAAAGCCAAAATAAATTTGATCGCATAAATTTGGATCAAGGCCGTGAAATGTCAACTGTTAATTTTTTCCACGGTACCGAGAGAGATTAGCATAAGACTGCCACATAAAAATAACAACCCGAGGTATTTTGATTGTTACTTTTTATAGTATCGGGGACGAGAGTCTTAGAAGTCCTCGCAGAGTGCGTCTGGTTTTTTTTTTTTATTCATTAGGTCTAGAGTTTTAATATTAATTAATTTAATGAAAATCAAATTTATTCATGAAAGCTTTTTGTGTACGTACCTATAAAGAACTATGCATTTTTAAGCTTGATACACAAATAATATTTTTGCGTCGACGTTTAGAATTCAGGAATATTTGATAATTTTTTTTTTTAACGAAGATGAATGTTTGAAAATGTTAGTTGGATTACGGATATGACAGTAGATATTAATATTTTCAAATAAAGATGAATTTCTATTATTTTAGATATTATATTATTAAATATGGCAGCATAATTACGTTTCATATTACTGAGAATACATTTTTACATAGAGTATGATATACTTTATAACTGGTATTACTTATGTATGTGTATATTTTGTATCAAATATCGATCTTTAAAAATAATGAAAACGGAAGGAATGCATTTGACATCAAGTTATTAGAATTGGAAATGTGAATTCGGGTATCTTATTTATACCTTCATTTATAACTATTAATTATTACAGTTTGAAGTTTATTAATTGTAAATAATTTACTGACAGCTGTAAGTGGCATTATTGTGTAATATCTCATGGAAAGGTAAACTGATAATAATTGAATAAAAATAATGATTAATTAAACTTAAACAAAATATAAATATATACACAATACTTACAGAGTTTGGATACTCCTCATGTAGTCGAAGGTTCCATTTGCCAAAGACTTAATGTTGTTATCGTACAGTGAGCTGTAAACAATTTTTGATGTTTCATTAATAAATAATAATGTTATTCATATTTTTAATTTAGTGACTAAAAAAAGTTATTTGATTTTCGCGTGTTCGGGATTGAGAATACGCAATGGAAATATTAATATCAGAATTATACAAAGTGGTTCACCTCTGTTTTAATTGACAATGAATTTATTCAAAATTTGATTTTTAAAATTTTTATACACAAGGTGTAACAGGAATAATAAAAAAAAAAATGATACTACCTAAATGTATAGCAAAATCTGTGAAAGTTATATAGTTAATAAATWATTTAAGAAATTATTTTGAATAAATACAAAAAGGATGTAATATTGATTATAGAGATTTGATATTTATTATACTTGAACCAATTTTGCAAATCATAAATGTTGATAGATTAATTAATTAATCACTAATATTTTAAATCTTTATAGCCCCCATTCACGGTGGACCAATTAACTTATTAATACACCAAGTAAAATCACTCAAAAACTAGGTACTCGYAAGAAGTTTAATTCTGATGAGTCAACATTTTCACTAAGATGATCCACAAAATAGTTAATTGTAAAAAAATGGTATTTCCTTTGAAAAAAAAAATCATAAGTTTGTATCATTACAGAAGGTTCTTAAGTAGAGTAAAAAATATCAAAAATGTGAATATATAATCTTCGAGTAAGTATATTTACAAATTCCGAAATTCAGATTTTCGATAAATGCATTGTTAAAGAAAAAAGAGGTAGAGCATATATGGTAAAACAAACTATGATTTTTTTTTTTAATACACTCGGTATAGGTATAAATCGCAGGATTGCGTCCATGGACTGATTTTAATTTAAAACAAGTGTAGGATTTAAACAAGAGACATATTGAATATTGAACGATGAAGCGAAGAGAAAGAGTGAAAACCCAAGGAAATATTCATGAATATTCAAACTCGGCTCGGGAAATCCGAAAGCGATTGTTTTCACAGGTAATCTGAGCCCATAGGTATATATACGCAAATATTGTATATATACKCGTAACCTTGTGTGTATCTTAACATTTCAATTTTATTCAATTTGGGTCCACCGTATACTTGACTTGGTTTCTTTTTTCATTACACACAAGGTCGTAATAAAGGGATGAAAAAAAAATTAATAAATAAAACCGTCTACAGTTTTTACTCACAGCAAATTGACGCTGTGTAAATCTCTGAAAGCATCTCTTCGTATACACGATATTTCGTTTGCGTTCAAAAGCCTTGAGACAAACAAAATAAAAACATCAACGTATTATAATAATAATAATATAGTTTTTGGATTATGTATATTGCATTATTTTTTTCTTYTCATTTTTACACTATTATACTTACAACAGTTGCAACGAAGTGAGGCCGTGGAACACCCCACCGGGCAAGTCTTTTATTTTGTTGCCGTACAGCATTCTGAAAAAAAGTAGAAAAATACATATTATAATAAATTCAATTTTTTCGAATTATTGGGTTGTCTCGTCCTGATAAAATTACGCGTGTATTTCTCGTTCGTACAAATTTTATGGCAAAAATTCGATTTCAGGACAATAAAAATAATATATAAAGGTACTGTGGTTCACGGAATATCGGCTGGCGTGTAGTGTATATAGTACAGCTTATATATATACTGCGGAATATAAAAATATAAAGGTTTGAAAAGTTATAGCTTGCAGGGAAGTTGTAAAGTATCCGTTTTTCCTTTTATTTTATATTTTATATATATATGTCAAATTCGGTTAATATCTTTAATAAAACTGCTCTAATACTATATAATATTATTATCGAAAGCGTACATGTATATATATATATATATATATATATATATATATATATATATATATTGGTGTCACGTATATATATATATATATCGGAAAACCGGTATAATAATATGTAATACGCGCATATTATGCAGTATTATAATATTCAAATTTCAAACGTTATTATTGCAGTCAATACTGCATCACTAGCCTACAACAGGTGGATAATCCGTTTATACATTTGACGGTTTTCGGAATATAATTATTTGAATTTTCTTCGTGAATAGTGGAAAACGTTTACTCGGGGGAACATTGCGGCAGTGGTGCGGAAAATAAAATTATTATGACGTTCTTAGCCATTTATACGAGTGCTAGATGTGATAAACGTTTACATTTTTTTCGTTAACCAACGAGTAAATAAATAAGTCTACAGATAAAAGCCTAAGGCAAACTTACACGCCGCCTGTTATTGTCATTGATAATGGCTTTTAGCGAATTTACGACCGCCTAAACAAGAGCGCACCGACCCTTTGGCGTACATAAAAAAGCTCGTGGCACATTTAGAAACCATTCAAAATGTTTTTTTTTTGTTTTGAAAACCCCGTTTGCACCGGGAAAAATAACTTTAGGCATGTATCGATACAGAATAAAAAAGGTAATAAAACGGACAGCGTATTTTTTTTTTTCAGAAAAATTACGGATGTTTTTTGCAACCAACAATTATGCGCGTGATATGTCGAAAGCAAAACCAGTTATATAGACCCACGTATGTGTGTACATGATATTTTATGCACGCTATAATACTCCCAGCGCAAATGACTAATATGTGTAACTAAAAAAAAACCTTTAACTTCACTCAAAGACATTTTCTTGGGAGCTAAATCGTAAAATTATTTTATGATCTACGCGAGGAAAAAAAGTGTTTTAAATAGTTAATCATATGCATGACAGTGTGTACTTACAGAGATGTTAACGACTTCAGACCCTGAAAAGCGTCCACTGATATTTTTGTTATCTGGTTTTTGCTGAGGTCACTGTAAATACGTATTAATATATTATTAATAAGTAAAGTAAATAATTACCTATTTGTTTTATTGAAATGTAAAAAAAAAAAACGCTTCTCTCGTTAAAATATATATAGGTACTATTATATATAGTGAAGATAATATTAATATTATATGGTTACGTTACAATATATTTTAATATGATTGGCGTACAAAGAACGGAGATGAAACGTATAATTTAGAAAACATTAAATTTAGACTAAGAAAAAAGCACGCATAGTTATGTGCCAATTGTACATGTTGTAATGAATGAATTATATATTTATATATATATAGCGAATTGATATATTTATGGGCTGAAAAAATATAATTTAAACATATTTTGTMAACGACTAAATTTAAATTCGTATTAACCGGTTGTTAATCAACTTTCGTGAGCAAGTAGAAATGCTAAAATATATTCGTCAGTATTGTACATTATTATATTTCATTGAAAACGATTTTACTATTATAGTTCCCTCGTACACTGCAGTACGACTATCATCGTTATTCGATTATGTCGTGTGTTTTCAAAATTATTGTACACGTATACAATATTATATATAGGTAGTAATTWTTTTTTTATTTTATTGTGTTAAACAATTATTACAGAAGTTGTATTTGTACTTACATTCTTCGCAGACGTTTGTATTTAACGAATGCTTTGGGGAGAATTTCGGTGATTTGATTTTGTTCTAGTCTCCTGAGAAAAGTGATAAACCGTGGTAAATATTAATACAATTTATATTATCATTTCACCGTAAACACATTACATTGGTATAAGTGGTACATGATGTATGGTCGGTGCGCAGGTATATAAAATGGAACACACAAGTCAATTATTTCACATTTGGCAACTTATCGATTATTTCCTACACTATATTTCATAGAAACAAAATATTATGTTCCAAATTATTAGGTTTTTGTACTTGTTATTATCATTATTCGTCAATCTAGGATGAAAAGGTCATAGATACCTTATAGAGAATTGAAATGTTTTATTCGTTTCCTGAAAAGCAAACATTTTGACTTATTCCATTTTACCCGAACACCATCCGCATATGTATGTAAAACGAATACTGAGATATAAAAGCGTTGATTTGGCTAATGTGTGGGTGTTGGAGTTGGARGGGTGGGTTACGGAAAATATTATAGTCGTGCTTACAGTTCTACGATGTCCTCGGGCAATTTGGTTGGCACCTTGGTCAACGACTTCTCCCTGCAATTCACGATGCCCCCCTCTTCACATGAACATGGATGCGGGCATGAGGACTTTTGGTCTTCGACGCCAGGACCACAKTCCACAGTTTCCCCGTCGAAATCGCCGTCTACGAGGAGTTAAAATACATTCGTAAATTACACTGTATTAGCCAAAGTGTCACAATAGCCTTATAAGCCTAATGAGACCCTGCAGACTAAATAGGTACCTACTATTATTATACAATTATTGTTGGCCGCAGTTTATTATACCTTTATATATATACATATATATATTAGTTATAGTTATATACACTTAATCAACTGAATGCGTGTAATAATACGTACATGCGCATTTGACTGCATTACTCTATATGGACTGGTGCATAATAAAACTTACGCGTGGTCCTAATGTGCAGTTTGTATAGAGCTAAAGAATTCGATAAATTTTTTGTTAAATTTTTTAAATTGAAAAATATAAATTTTAAATATCAGGTTTTTATGTGAATAATGATTTAACAATTATTCTGGTAAGTGTATATAAAAAGAGGACAACATGTAATTGTTGAACTTATACACATTTAATTGTGATTTAATTTTAATTTTAAATGTACTTTTATATTGTAATTGTTCGAATAAATTCAATATATATTTTTTAAAGCTATTTTTTACTCATTAAAATAATTGTAAAAAATATTTGCACTTATATAATAACAATACTATAATTAAAAATATTAAATATTAAAAATGACATTATAGTTTATGTTGAAATAATTAATTTTAGTCCTGTTTAAAAATTGTAGTGATAAAAATAATTGTCAAATACCTAATTGATTTTCATAATATACACATAAACAAATATTGTTTTTTAATAATTTTAAGCGTAGTTTTTAATTATATATATATATTCGCTAATAAAATTAATTAATTTAAAATGTAAACGTTATTCACACCACCTTTCAATGGATCTGGGAGATAAAATATCCGGTTTATAATAATATCGATGGCGGAAATTACATTAAATATCTAATATCCAGTGAAAAATTTCCTATAACTGCAAGAAAAGTATTTAAAATATTTATTTCATATGTTTTAGTGGGAATTACACAATATTATAGATTTTGTGTAGATTTAAATGGATTGTACAAAGAAAAATATCATCGATTTCATACTTTCATAGACGAAAATCGATTATCGACTTATATTATCAAATGTTATGCTACACCTATAATTATGATTTATGACTTTAAAGTTTATATTTGCGTATCTGATAAATCGTAAGAAAATCGTGAAGGTTGTATAATATTACTATTATTAAAAAATATTTGTTTGTCATCTTGTACCTATTCAATTATTATTATTATTATAATAATTCAAAATATTATTAATTATTGTCGTGTGTAATTACCGCACTGCATGTGGTGTTTATGCATATCGGCCAGTGGCAGACCAGCCATATTCGATGGCCCGTGACAGTGAGTCGACGATCCTAGTCTAGGAATCCTAGGTAACCATTGTTGGTACAACCAATCGAGCTTACAGTCGCACTGGAACTTGTTATCGGACAGCCGGATGTTTCGCAGGCGGTATAGGTCAGAAAACAGTCCCGGAGGCAGCGTAGTCAGGCTGTTGTTGTTTAGAGTTCTGCGGAAATCAACACACACACACATATGTTTCAATTATTGGCGTTGTTTTCGTTTTTAATTCCACTCTGAGAGCGTTTTAATGCTTACAGTATTTCTAGGTCTTTGAGTCCTTTGATGGCGTGCTCGTCAATGCACAGRATACGGTTGTTGTCCATTAGCCTGTAAACGAACGAATGGGCGGTATTGTATATAATGAAGTTTTTTTTTTTGTTTCTTTCGCAATTAATCGTCAACCGTGAAAAATAATACCATTATTCGCAACGTTATTGAAACCAAACAGTGCGAACGAGACAGAGGAGGCCATGCAGACGAGTAGGAAATAACGAAGAATAATGTATCAGAAAGTTTTTTCCCTCCGTCACGACGACGGTGAGACCAGATGGACAGGAGGCGAGACATTTGAATTTTCTTTTTATTCTTTGGAGACATTTTCATTGTGGTCGATTAAAAAATATGAAAGAAATACTCTGCGCTCCGACGAACGAAAGCGATTTTTCACAATGCGTAAGAATGAAGTCGACGACGGAAAGTTTTTTTAAAAGGGGGAAAAAATTAACTCATAAATTGAAATTAAGCCTCCGCTTTAGTCAATAAGTTTCAATATTATATACCTGTTGGGGATCGTTGGACTATTTTTATTTTTGTTTGTTTTGTTTAAATACTTACAAAGTTCTTAAAGCTTGAGCACCCTTCAACATGCTCTTCCCGACGAACAGCAACCGATTATGGCTCAGATCACTGTAAACATAAAAACACCGTTATAAGTAAACAGCAGCAAGTTAACTTAAGTATATGCAAAATAATACGAGTACATACGGTTTATTGTGTACGAGTCATTTCGAAGTATTAAAATATAAACGCTTATAATGGATGGCGAGGGGGTAAGGGGGGCGCTTTTTCATATATATATATTTACACATCATTTATTTTTCGTATAAAATACGCCGTGTAATGGAAATGATGTATACACACACTTTCTCATATGCACATTTGTGTGCTAAAATAGCGTTTGTTTATCATATTTATTTTATTTTTTAAAGTTTTAACATTAAAAAAAAAAGTAGCAACAGACATATTATTTATATTGGTAGTCACTTGTTGTAGCGTATAATGGATTTTGATGTTTATTTCAAATAGAATAAATAAGAGTGGTGTAAAAATTGACTATCATCATGTTTTTTTTATTTTTATTCACTGTGAATTGTATTTTTACTTCTGTCCCGGGTTTGAGAGGGAAAAAAGGGAAAAGTCTCCATTTTCCCGTTAAATTGATTAGGTTTTTCGTTCGTTCCATTAGTTGTCGCCGAAGGGCATCTCCGGGGACTGTTCCCGCTCTGCTCCACTCCCGAGGTTTACCGGTAATTAACTTTACATCACTAAAGTCTCAGGATTTTCGAAGAGCTGAGTATATATATATATATTATATATATATTTTTCGTTTTACAGGAGTAATAAAACGAACATTATTCAAACCTGGATGAAAGCGGTTCCGGAGGGTGTAAAATTATGAAAAATGAAAACCCATAATGTAACCGCACAATGAGAGTGGTATACAGCACGACGTAACAATACATACAAATAAATTTGTTTTATTAATTAAATTTAATATTTATGGTTTATATTACCGCAATTGTTCCGAATGTCTTTACATCAAAACCGTTATGCAAGACTGAAATATAACTAAATAATTGAATTCCAACAACATTCGTGAATTTGATTTATTCCGGTTGAAATATTAATAATACCCTATCCCCTCACCCCACCGATCAACAGCGATATACTTTAAATGAAAATCCGCAATTCAACGAATGCGTCTATATAATAATAATAAATAATAATAATAATAATAATATGAACCGTCATTAAAACTGTGTCGACCGTGACGATAAATACTGAAACGTGCACGTCAACGGTTCTTATGAAAAAACGTCACACATCCATATTATATAGGAGCGTCGGGAAAATCARATCTTGGGATATTGCAGTCGGCAGTGCGCAAACGTCTGTTAAATCTCTTCAAATATATTTTATGGGTGACGTGAATGTTGTATATATTATATACTTTTCAGTTTTCGTGGAGACTAAAAACGAATCGTTGATACGTTGGCAAATTCAATACAGTAAAATATATCTCTAAACGACAAAACGGCAAAATTGTTTCAAACCATATCTAACATATATATATATATATATATATATATTAAATAGGTATATATGTATACAATATACATGCTCACACCGCGGTGTGGTTGTTCTGTAGCTGTTGAGACTACATTAGAATATTACATATCTGTACGACACACTAAAGTGCTTTTGAGGTCTGAAACTTTCGAGTGTCAAAAACAGAGTAAAAATAAAAGAGACATTTTAAAAAACGTACGATTAGGACGAAATGTATATAAGTATACTAATATAAAATATAATATAAAACGTAAAAAGGAGCTGCGCTAAACCGGAAATTTTAATTGCTTCGTAGCAAACGGGCGCTCGTCGACTTTGTATTCTCTGACGGTGCCGGATTATTAATTACATTTCAACTTAGGTACACCCACCCACGCACGCACACACACCGAACGTACTGCGGAAGTGCCACGGAGGCGGATATTATTATGACTGTAGTATGAAAAAAAAATAATATAATTTAAAAATCTTCGATACGAAATACGTACCGATTTATATGATATATATATTATAAGTACAACGAYGACGTGCTGACCCTCGCGGATCGTCTTCAGATAGCAAGATAAGTTAAAGAAAATACATTAATACACTATACAGGGTGAGTCACCAAACATACTAACCCAACATCTTCTTTTTTGTCATTAATAGCATGAGTTTATACAAATTCTAATTTTTGGAATTTTTAAGAATTCATATACAGGTGTCTCACGTAGATCTGACATATGGAATAATTTTTGTTGTATTCAATATGAATTTTTTTGGATAAATTTAAAATAGTAGATTTGTGAATTTTATTATAAGAACAATTTTTGATGGTAAAAAGATWTATCTAAGTCAAGTAGTTTATTTTTTAGAATTTTTTTAAAATTCAATATTTTTTCGATTAAATTAATTTGGAACGAAATAACTTTTTTTTTAAATATGATTTTTGACAATTTGCTAATATGAGGATATTTCTTAAATTATTTACTTATAATATTAACATTTTTTTTTTTGATACGTTTAATTAGCATATTGTTTTTGGATTTTTCTGAGGCACCCTTTATAATAACGTACTCAAAGACATTACTTTCAAATCTTTGAGTTATTACTCAAGCTACTACTTAAGGAGAGTCCTGTGGTGATACAAATGTTTGTTTTTTAGAATGAGTACGCCTTTTTTACTGTAAATTATTTAGTTGATAGCTTTTTTAAAAATGTTGCTCAGAGTATTTACCTATAAATTAAAAATTTAGACGAGTATATTATAGGTACTCAGTTATTAAAATGTTCATCAAATTTGAAAATATGGTCTTTAAGTATATTTGAAAATTCCAAAAGTCAGACTTTGAACGACTACTGCATTATCTGCAAAAAAATTGGATAATCATGGTCAGTGAGTCACCCTATATACGTATATAAGTACGATGCACTGACCCGCACGGATTGTCTTAAGATTTCTATACAAGTCAAAGAAAATATATTGGTACAACATATTCTATATCTATATAGTAATATTATTATATTAGCACAGTGTGATCGCGTACGTCATAATAATATTATATT